TATATATATATATATATATGTGAACAAAGATGTGTGCCTGTGCACATGTAGATACTAGTTAGCGCTGAAGTATATCTGCTGTACGCCACATTCTAGTACGCATGCACCCTATGTTTTGCAGCAAGTTTGCATCAACGTTTGCCTCAACCCGCATTTGTTCTTAAACTCCTTTGGCCATATTCGCGGAGAGCTGCATGATTGTGAAACCCCACCAAAGCCATCTGCTGCCTTCCAGCCCGACCATCTGCAACATAAAGCAAGCATCCTGAGAACCGATATCAAGCATGTGCAACTTGGAACGAACATCCTTACATTTCAATCCTTTAGCTGTAGTGCTTACAGCCTTTTTGACTTAGAGTTTCAGGCTTGCCACCTTCAACAGCAGCGGAAGACTGGAAGCGAGTCTTGGGCTACTTCAACATAGAGCTTAACAAACCCAAGCCTCTTGACGGCTGGTGCTTGCAGTAAGCAGCATCCCGAAACCCTTAAACCTCTAATTAAACCCGAACCACACCAAAAAGCCGAAATCCAAACTTCTCATGTCGCGCCGCCATCGCGGCCTGCCAGCGGCGCTGGCATTCGCTACCGGCGGAGTGTTTTGGGGGCGCTGTCTGCTGGTCCGGAGCATAGAACATCCACAGTCTCGGTGTTTTAATGGGTTCCTTGAGGGTTTCAGGGGTCTATATGGGTTTCGGGTTGTAAAGTTTGTGGCTTAGGATTTCGGATTTTCGAGCGCTTCTTCTTCAGGGCAAAAACTTTACAGCCTAATTGAGGGGGTTTCTGTGTTTTATGGCTATGAAAGCTGGGGGTTTGAGGTTGTACGGTTAGCGGCGTTTGGGGTTGAAGGTCTTTGGGGTTGCATGCTTTTGGGCTTGAGGCTTCAAGGTGAGGGTTTAAGGTTCAGGGCTTGGTTTTAGGAGGCACAAGGGTAGTTCTCTGAATTGGGGTCCCTTTTTGGGTCGGAAATGCCTGTTGAGACCCATGCCGAAGCTTTGCGAAGCCACGGCGTGAACACATAACGCTCAACCCTTCAACCCGAAACCTTTTCAGCCGACCATCCAACATCCTCAACCCCAGACCATGGAGTTGCAATCATGGTCTAGGTGCCTAGCAGCAACGCATTGCCACCGCATGCCGTGATCCGTTCTTTCCAAGGCTCAACTGTGCAAGCTGAAAGAATTTGGAACTGTAGCAGTCGAAACCTCCCAGCTATAGATACTACAGGTTCGGCCAAGGCATCAGCGGCCTACGCGCATGTATATCATAACAGCATAATACCAACTAAGGTATTTAGCGGTTTAGCATCAAACACTGCTTTGCATTTAGCTACTGAGCACGGGTGCCTGAAATGCTGCTAATTACGAAGAATATTGCTCCTTCGCGGGCATACTATTGCACAGCCAAAGACAGTAGTGCAACGGGCCATCTTGGCCGCTTCTGTGCAAGCATTTCTTTGCCCATGGTATCTGCAGGTGGTTCGCACACGGTGCTTCTACGAAGCGATGGATGTGCTTTTGCTTTCGGAATAAACGTCGAAGGGCAATGCAACATTCCACAATTGGAGCAAGGTGTGTCGTACACCCAGGTTTCTGCAGGGTTTTCTATCCCCGACTCTCATTCATTTTCTCATACAGTCCTTCTCCGAAGTCATGGCCGCGCAGTAGGTTGTGGGTACGACCATTACACTCAATGTCAGATTCCGGCTTTGGAACCGGGTGTGGCGTACACATAGGTTGCTGCAGGTATGGATCATACAGTGCTCCTTCGCAGCGATGGCCGTGCAGTTGCTTGCGGATATGTTTATTACAATCAATCCAATATTCCAGCTTTGGACACTGGCGTGACATATGCACAAGTTTCCGCAGGTAATTCTTATACAGTGCTCCTTCGAAGTGATGGGCACGTGGTTACTTGTGGAAGCAATGCTTACGGGCAATGCAGCATTCCTGCGTTGGGTGAAGGTTTGTTGTACACGCAGGTTTCTGCCGGTGCAAACCATGTGGTTCTGCTGCGAAGTGATGGACATGCTGTTGCTTGCGGGCGCAATGATAAGGGACAATGTAACGTTCCCGAACTCGAGACAGGTGTGTCGTACACACAGGTTTCTGCTGGTGGTTCTCATACAGTCTTTCTCCGAAGTGATGGACGTGCTGTTGCATGTGGCAGCAATTCTGCGGGGCAATGCACAGTGCCAGCTTTGGAGCAGGGCGTCTCATACATCCAGGTTTCCGCGGGTACTGAGCATACAGTCCTTCTTCGAAGCGATGGGCGTGTTGTGGCTTTTGGACAATCCAGGTACGGACAATGTAGCGTTCCACCGCTGAAGTGCTGGAGTGACTTGTTCAGCTGTCGATCTCGGAGGGTGGACTACATTTCTGATTTGAGAGCATCTGCTCCTCCGTCCTAAGCCTCCACTTGTTGCCAGCTTTGCGGTCTTGTGCTGGCTAGAAACATGCACTAAAGTCATGAAGCCCAGCACAACAGTCCTTAACAACAAGAAGGACCGTCGTCTTCGTAAGGCCAACTTGTACGATAGATGTGCTTTCCACAGGGTGGGCACTGAGAATGTCAGCGTTTAGGTTTCTTCAAAGGGTTCCTTTGTGGGGATTTCGAATCTCAGTTGCGGGGCAATGACTCCCTCGTCTGAACCGGTCTCACGCACTGACAAAAGTGGCAGCGTCAGATGGAGTCCGTAAGTCCCACTGCATCATCCCATAGACAGAGCCGAACAGGCATGTAAATTATATAGATATACAGACAGGGCATTGGGTTTGCGGGTATATAGGTAGCATATGAAAATATAGGTGTGAATGTAACAACTAACCACAGATCGTACATACATACACACATACATACATACAAACATACATACAGACAGACATACATACATGCAAGCATGCATACATACATACAAAATACATACAAACATGCATACAAACATACGTACGTACACACATATTTACATACACACATTCATACACACATACGATACATAGATGCACACACATATGTATATCGGCAATCTAAGACTAGAGGAAGCTGAACCGGTTCTACATCATTTTTAGGAAGTCTGTGCACCCTTGACGAGTATGTGATCATTTGTCCTAAACCCTAGGCCCTAAACTCCCTACACCCCACCCCGTTCCGAAATAGCCTACCTCTTTGAGGCTATATATAAAGGAAAACATAATAAGGACCCCCACCCGGTAATTAGGTTCTTCAGGGGGGAAAGGCATTTTCATGAAGCCTAGTTTATTGAAGGGATCAAAGAACTTAGCCGGGTCTAGGTTTAGGGCTTGGGGGCAGAGCTGGAGCTAATTCTCCGGGCCTAAGCAGGAAACCTTCGTCTGCAAAGCGCGAAGACCTAGATCTGCTAGCGGTGCCCCTGAACCGCAGATCTTGTGAAAGGTTTATCAGCAAGAGGTACCACCATCAAGAAACAGTATTGTTTCCTATATTTCCATATCGTCATAGCCGAAATTAAGGTTAGATTGCTTGGAAACCCCCCATATATACAAGCACAAAACATCCTATCAGGATCACGATAACAGCGTACCGAAACCCTAAACCCTAAGCCCTTAGTATACAACCCTAATACCCAACAATCCTCAACTCTGAAGCCCATCAGCCCCAAACTCTAACTCCTAAACCCTGAGCCCCGGAGCCTTAAATCCATAATTTAAGGGCCGTAATAACTAGAATAGGGTTTGGGCTTGTCATACCACCGTTTTTTTATAAAGAAACCCTAAGAATTAATAGTGGCAGCTGTTTGCGGGCCCGCATATAACCCAAAGCCCTATGCTTGCCCAAGGTGCCCCTGGTGGGCACACCGCCGAGGAACATCGACTTCGAGCGTCTGCGAGGGCTGAGAGCTCGGAGTAAGGGGTGTCATACGGGTAAGGGCTGACGGTCAAGGGTTTAAGGGTTTAGGTTGTAGGGTTTAGGGTTTCAGAAGGGTACTGGGCAGGGTTACTATTATCAACATTCCTTTGCCGAACGTCAGGGTTCTACACTCTACACAAACCCTGAGCCCTTACACGCTGACATTGACGGTTTAGGGAGGGAGGAGTGTCAGAGCCCGGAGTGCATAGTTGAAGGACTTTGGGGTTTAGGACTCAAGGTCGGAGTTTGGGGTTTGCGGTTGAAGGGCCCCAGGTTTAGGTTTGGAGTTAGGGAGGTAATTCAAGGCTTCAAGGCCGTATCGAATCCTTACACAAGCGTGGCACTAACGGCCCTGTGCGAAACCTTTTCTGAACGAGAAAGCAAGGAAGATTCGCCGGACGTCCTGGGAGGCGCTCGAAGTTCTAGCCGTCCTGACGGTTGCAGTGCCTAATTAGTTTGCTAGCGTTCTTGTGACTGTTGTTGTGTCCACACTGTATAGAGACTTTCGTTAGGGCAGCCTGCAACAAGCTCGATTTTCATGTTCATGGCAGCCCCTATGATCATCATTGAATCCTTATCTTCACAGTGACAAGCAAGCTACGGTGACACTGCTTTGCAATTCCATAGCTTTTGTTTTTATGGACCACGCACCTTCAGCCCGCAGGCCAGTATCATCCAAGCCCGAAGCCAGTGACGGAGAACTTGCACGAAAGCTCTAGAACAGTTGGTGGTGAGGCCCTAAAAGGAGGTCATTGAGACAATCAAGTCGTGTTCGCACTAACCACGAAGCATGTCCCAATAAGCCATAGCAACTTGAATTTCTGATTCTGAGGCCACGTGACGTTCTGGACATTGCCGTGTGCAGGTACCGTTGTGTGTTTGCGGGTAGAGTAGTGGAGAAGAGGCTTGCAAGAAGTTCTGGGATTTAGAGCTCGGGGTGTAAATTCACACCCTACCGGGCCCATCCGAAGGCACAAAATAGAGGTTCAACATCAGCCCTTAGGCCCCAGATCAGCGACTGATATTGAAGGGCTGCCTTCGTAATATTCCCTAGACCCTGAAACCGAAATCCTATAGAGCTGCAGCGGTAACATCAAGCACCAATGACGTCCACGGCACCCACAACTTCTGCGTTGCCTCTTTTCTGGCCCCAGATTCCCATCGGAGACCTCCGTTTTTTGTAGTAGAGACCTCACACAAGAAGTCTTAACCGACAAGGGGCACACAACAAGGGTGCATGGAATGCGTGAGAGATGCCCAGACACGGGTTGTGAAACTTTACAGCTGTCGTAAGCTTAGGACGTTCAATTTGTAGGACTGTAGAGGGTTGTCGCGTTCTAGATCAGTCTAAAAAAACCCTGCCCCGGTGCACAAGGAGCTTCCTGAACGAGGATGAGATATCCCTTGCCATGGCCATAGCGCAGGACCGGCGGGGTTTGGGGACTGAATGTTGAGAGGCCCTTCCCATTCGGAAGCGGGGCAAACAGCTTGAACTACCATGTGGTGGTTTCAATGCTTGTGTGTCAGATCCCAGAACTTGAATCCAAACAGTTAGCCTCGGGGTGTAGGATGGCTGAGGTTGCAGCGCCACACAGCGTAGCACACCAGCAAAAGTGTCTTATGCCATATATATATATATGTATATATATATATATATATATTTGTTTTGTTTAACATCATCTGCCCTAAACCCGAAGCCCATTACTCAACCCCACTACCTACCTCCGAATTACAGCCGAGTAAGTCCCAGTGCTAGTATTACTCCGTCATAGTCATGCGCCTGGCGCATCCCCAGGCCAAAATGGTACCTGTAGCATGTAGGGTTTCTATATTAAATTAGGAATGACTATTATGATTGGGGGAAGTATTCTCTATAACAGAACCTAGGACCTTTTGAGAAGGGAACTCATTGCCAGATGTCTTGCGTTGTTTTTGGAAGCTCTGAACCTGAAGTAGAAATTCAGAAGAGGGTTCCCTGAATGTAACGTAGGGGCCTTAATAATTAGAGTAGGGTTTTGGGGGTTCCTTATCATACCCATAGTACAATATACCCGAACAACCCTATTCGAGTTATGAAGGCCCCTATATTCGATCCCTTAGGCAAGGATGCTGAATGCCAACCCCCCCTTTGAGGACCCTAATCCAACCTCCCAGAGCAGACGCGGCCTGATCCGCACTCAAGCCTTCTAAGCTCGAAAAGCTGTGAGGATGGAGAGGCCTGGGCGATCGATGATCGTGACGACGATCTTGGCTACGACTTTCCGGTATGTTTGTCCTACTACCCCAAACCTGCTGCATTCAGATTCGCAAGGTTGCCATCAGTGCTGCTTTGGCTCTTCGAAAAAAATACTGTTCGGGAATGGAGTAGCCGTTGCAGGAACTGGTGGTCTTGAGCCTCCAATGATTGTACGGGTTCCTTTAAAAGGATTTATTGGGGTTTATGGGTCTTAGGGTTTGGATGGCTCAGGGACCTGGCATTGAAGGGCAAGGGGTTGGGTTGGCTTCAAGGGCATTGAGGGTTTACCTAGGCTCTCCATCGTAGTTCCCGCTTTTGTTCCCCATCTCATGCTTGACTTAAGTTCGAGTCCCGTAATCCGAAACCCGCAACCCTCATCCCTAACCCCAAACCCCAAACCCTTTCGCTCCTAGATGCCAGGCACATGAGGTGTGGCGCATCGAGGACATGCATTGCAGCTGCTGCGCTACATCCGGAACCCTAATCCCTGCATCTAGGGCTTAGGGGTTTAGGGTACCTGTAGCCGAAAAGACCTACTTTTGGGTGGTTCTTTATTAGGGTTCCCTTGATGTTTAAACACGTCATCTCTATTGTATCTACAGATCAGATGATCCTCCAACCCTGTAATCCTTCTGCAGCCATCTGCCCCAGACTCACAACTCCCCCCCGAGCATGATGCCTGAACGAAACCCCTGATCCCTTAACCCCCACCCTTCCTTGAAAATGTGCCCACACCCCTTAGCCTGGACCCTATCTGAAGGATGATGGGCCTAAAAGTCTTCGTAACTGTTGAAGGGGCTTTAATAATCAGAATTGGGTGTTGGGCCCACTATACTATAACTATAACAATGATAATAAGGACCCCCCCCAAAGTAGTATTGGTAATTCCTAGGCCCTTACATTAGGGTCATAAGTAAGGTAAGTATACTTATACTTACTTTTCACCTCCGTCGAAGTACATGTTACCTTATTACTTACGAAGCCCCATGATCCTCCACGTATTTCAAGTTTAAAGTGTCCAACCCGCAGCACAAGGATCCTGCTTCTATTGCGGTCCTGGGTTCTTAGGAGGGAATGTGGTAATGGGTTGCGGGGATTACTGCATGGGACCTTAAGGGGCTATCATAGGAATCCATTCCCCCCTTCCCTATTAAGAGCCAGCGAAACAATGCCTCAACCCTAAATCCTAAACTCCAATTCCCTCCGGCTCCACCTAAGTGACTAGCTATTGCTGTTAGCCCGGGCTTCGATCTTGGGATCGTAAAACCCCAAGCCAAGCCCCTAAACATTGAATCCTGGAGAGGAAGTGGAAGTACGGTACCATCGCGCTTTCAAGAACACACTTCAACTTAAATCACCCATGGTCTAGGGCTTGGGCTTGCAGCTAAAACCCATGTGACTCATTGAGGGTTCAGGATTTAGGGTTTAGGTTTCGGGTGCTGGAGGCTTGATCCATGCACAATGCTAGCACCTGTGCTATTATATATTGGTGGGAATTGTGTATAATTCAGGCTTCTACATAGTACCACCGCCACCGCCCCAGATTCCTTGAAGTTCTGGAAAGCCGCTGTAAACCTTAATCCTAAACCGAAACCCCAGGGTTAGCCCGGACCCGAAATCCTAAACCTTAAGTTCTAAACCTTACATCCTAAACCCTAAACCCTGAACCCAACCCTAAATCCTAAACCTTAAATCCTACACCCCAAGCCCCAGGAGGTGCTTCAGGTTCACGAGCCCGGCTTCTTTCAAAAGCTTATTGCCTCAGCTTGGTCAGTGGAGAAGAGGCCATGGGGGTTGTACTGTAGGGGTTCAGGGTTTTGGGGTTTCGGGTTTTGGGGTTCAGGGTTTGTGTTTTTTTCGGGGTCTGCAGCTATTTATCAGGGCTTGGCAGGGTCTTAAAGGGTTCTATAAGGCTACTACTAGGGCACAATGACAGATCTCAAGGGGCTCATATTATCCCCAAAGCCCCCAAGTGAGGGTTCAGAAATGACTCTGAACCCTTAACCCCGAAACGAGTTTAGGGTTTAGGGTTAACCAGTCAACCCTGATCTCTCCAGGGGCAAAACATGAAGCATCCCAAAATGGAGAGACGAAGTGGTTTGGGGATTGGGGTCCCGAAATTTCGGGGTCGAAGTTTAAGTTTAATAGTTTTAGGGTTTAGGGTTTAGGTTCTTAGGGTTTTGGAGCTTAGGGCTTCGGGGTAAGAGTTCCCAGTCCCATGCCTGGTTTCGATGTTTTTGTAAGTGGAAGACATGTGCAATGTGCATCACAGCCGTTTTCCAGAAAGGCTTGGGTTCTTTAGGCGTCCTAGGGTCTTTAAGGTTTAGGGCTCTCAACCCTAAACCCTAAACCCAACCCCCTGAACTTAACTGCAACGAATTGCAGGCCCGAATCTGCGAAACCCATCACCATCCCCGAACCCTAAACCCGAAGAATTACAGAATCTGCAACATCTGTCGAGACTCGTCATAGACACGTGGTGACAAAACCATGTCTGATTTTGTTGTAGTAGTTTGTGATATTGTCCGCTGCTGAGGCCCAAACGCCCTCAAGCTCTAAACCCAAGAAGCCTCAAGCCCAAACTCCTAATCCCAAGGCCTTAATCCCTGAGCTTTCAAGGTGGAAAGGGCCCCTCAAACCCTAAACGCTAAACCCCAAACGAAGGAACGAGCCCCTAAAACAACAAAAACTGAACCCCAGGATGTGGGGAAACATCCTCGAGTTCGTCTTTCCGGAGATCGAGTGCGCACGGTCTCGCGTGAGGTTGCGCTTCTGGGTGTGCAGCAGGGTTGCTCAGGGTAGGTTTAGGGTTCAGAGTGTCCAGGGTTTAGGGCTTAGTGTGTTTAGGGCAGGGTTGGGGGTCAGGCTGCCGATCCTTTTTGGCGTTTAGCCTGTGCCCTAAACCCCAAACCCACAAGCACAAAAGCCACATGAACAACGACGCCACACAAAAGTCTAAACCTGAAGCTCATGTATGATATTGTATGACTGAAAAACCTTGATTATTTCGTTAACTTATTGTGACTCTGCCTATTGATGCTGCTCGCATCTGTTCGTAGGAACACGCCTTCTGCTACTCATGTGATCACCCTATAAGCCCGAAATCCCAAAACCCGAAACCCTAAGCACCCCAACCTTGCTTTAGACGCCCCCCATACCAGAAGACAAAGGATCCGGAACCCTCAAACCCTGAAGCCCTACAACAGATGTTTGTCAATGAGCTCTTGGCCATGACTCTTGCAAGTCATGGCTGTCACCGCTCTGTTTGGGGTTCTATGCGGGTCCTAGCCCCCCTAAGCCCTGAACCTTAAACCCTACACCGCGTGGTCGGATGTGTGGGAGCCCTAGCACGAGGTTATGTGTTTCTTGGTGTCCGGGTGGCCTCCCACCTTGAGCGGTTCAGGTTTGGACCCTTGTGGTTTTAGGAAGAGTTTCGCCGCCTACAAACTCCAAACCTGAAAGCCCTGAGACCCTCGACCCGAATTTTATAATTGCAAAGGATCCTCACCCAAGCCTCGCTTTTCGGGGTCATCATGTAGAATTCCTCCTATGTCCCCAACACAGAACCCATCAAAAACGGGTTTTGTATTCCCTGGAGCGAGGTACATCGAGTATGATGTGAAGAAGCTGGGGCGACCCGGCTCGATCGCCCGCCACACGGACAACGACAGCCTGATTACCATGGTGGTCGCTCCGCTTGGTGTAAAGTTTTTGGGTTTAGTAGAGGGACACTATGCAGAAGTCTAATTAGACCATTTGTTCTTTATAGGGCCCCTTCTATGGGACTCTCTACGAGAATCCCTGCAAGTGGGAGGGTTTCGGCAATGCGAGGTCTACATTGCGAACGACCCCTGAAAGCTGTTGAACAACTATAGAGCCGACAGACAGCGTTGTTCCACACACCAGATGTTTTTCGGAGTCTTGCCGTTGTTGCTTACACGAGAGGCCGAAGCCTGAAATCCTGAATGCAAGCCGTAGCGTTCCGGGGCTGTAGATAGCGAGGGTTCGAAGTGTAATTAAGCCATAAACGCTGTTGTCGCTGGATGTGCACAAGTCTTAAGATTGTCAAGGTACTGGAAGCTTCTTGGGAGACCATAAGCCCTAAGCCCTGAACCCCATATAACCCTAATTAAACCAAGCCTCAGTTTTATCCCCTAAACCGCAGCTTGCCGCTTTACCGAGGTGCTGCTCTCAGAAACTTCGGATTTTCAGGGGGGCATCAACTGCTCCTCGGAAAGGATTCCTCTGGGTTAGGGTTTAACCTTGGGGCGTAGGCTCTTTGTTGGGTACTCTAGAGTTGAAAATGGGATGCGGGTCTTTGCGGCTGGATGATCGTCATGACATGTCTAGAACTGGTGCCATGGATTTTGATTACTTTCAAGTTCGCGGGCTGTACAATGGTGCTCCCTGATAGAGAAACCCTACATTTTACCACACAGCTCCTTAGGACGCTTTGGGGTTATAGGCATAGGCATGGGCTATAACAGTTCGTTTTGCGGGTTTTGGAATTCCTATCTTACGAGCCTGCCATGACTCTGAGCACATGTTGTTCAGTTGCAGTGGCCAAAACCGAGCCTAGTAAAGCACGCACCTTGAAACCCTTAACCTACAGGCCTCCCCCTGCCATCCCAAGTGTCGAGCCAATACCTGAGATCATCATCTAACATGGTATGAGCATCCATCTAATTACCCGCAATGTTCCGTGGCTCCTCAGATCCTGGACCAGGCACCCCAAAGCCGAACACCTCAGATACTGCTCCCTCAACCCACATAATTGACATAAACGCTAATAACTTAAGCAGAATAAGCCGATAATATAGGGGCCGTAATAATTAGGATGCGGTTTTGGGGCCCACTATGCTAGACTTATTTTAAGGAAGCCCCCAAAATAGTATAGGTAAGTATTTAGGCCCCTATATTATTTTGCGGAGGAATCCTTCTAGAAACTCTTCTTTTCTAGAAGCCCTGCAGAGGAACCCTGGAAGGAAGCTGGGCTTGTTCGAAATCTTGACCCAAAGGGTTAGAATGTACAGTAGGGTTTCTATATTCGGAATAGCTATAATGGTTTCTGAAAGTATCACTCATAACAGCACCGAGGACTCTTTGGGTAAGGCCCCGGTATTGCCATGCTCAGGCTTCGAAGGAACGTCCCACGAGCGCGAGGCAGATTCGGGTTCCAAAGCGTTTTCGCGATGTTGGGTGTGTGTGTGTGTGTGTGTTTGTTGAAAGTTTGGGTTTAGGTGTATTTTAGTAAGTCTACATAAGGTTTGACGAAAGAAAGAAGCCGTAGGGCTTTAGAGTTTGGTGTTTTTTGTTTCTGCTTTCCAGGGCTTGTATAGAGGCTTTTATGGCAAGCGCCCAAAACCCAGGAACCGACTATATCGGTAGTGTTCTAAAGTAGGGTCCCTTTTAGGGTCCTTTATACAAGGGTGTCGTACTCTACTGGGTTCTAAAAAAGCGAACCTAATTTAGAGAACTACCTATATAGACCGGTGGGCAGAATTGTGGGTCTAGGGTGCAGTGTGTCAGGACTAGGGCCCTCAAGGTTCGGGGTTTATGGTCCGAGGGTACAGGGAGTTTAGGGTTTAGGGCTCAGGGCTTAGAATTTAGGGTGTAGGGTCCAAGGGTGCGGGGAGTGGACTGGAGGGGCCTCAAGAATCATCATCAGCCCCGAACCCCAAACTCTACAGTCGACACCTGGTTGCCAGGTGCCGCTCCAAAGAGGGGACGCCTGCTTCTTCTTCGGATGCTTGTGCCGCAGTACGGTGCAGGGTTGGGGGTGATAATCTGGCTAGTTTTTGTTTCAAGGTATGGCTAGGGCTAACTGTTGCAGGGGCTTCCATGGGTCTTGGAGTCTTGCATGCACGGGGATTGCTACTCTAGCCTTTCAGCCCTGTCCCCCAATTACACAACAGACTTCCTTCACTGCATGGGCAGCGTGTCCCAAAAAGGCTTTAGTGTCGGATGTCGAAGGTTCACAGCTCTTTATTGTTCACAGCACGGGGAGTTTAGGAGTACAAACAACATGTCCCCTTACAATCCCTATGTGTTGCCATCCCGAATAGGCTAGATCCTCGGGCGACTATGCCGACCAAAACGTAGTGGTCTCGGGTGGTCTCTTGTGTTTCGTGGTGGTCTCTTGGTGACCACCATGTTATCTTCCAACATCAATGATTCCCCTCAGGTGATGGCGCACCGGGACTGTTTACACAACGGGGTATGAGCGCAAACTATGCACCGTGCCACAACAGGAGGGTGCCTCGCAGGAACACAAGCCACATCTCCTCATACCCTAACCGTAAGAAGGGAATAGTTATACACCTACCTAAGTCCTCTTCTAATGTATATGTCCGGCTAGGGCTTCAGTTTCAGGCGCCCGCAGGCGGAGGATAGGAGCCCCAGCCGAGGACATTGCTGCCATCACTGGATTACGTCGGAGTCTTTGAGCGTGCAGAGTGGTGTCTTGGGATATAGCGCTTCATGTGGACCCTGAATCTTCAACAAACAATACCTCGTTTACCTTTACCTGGGTTACTGTCCATCGAGCCCTACACCCTAAACCCTAAACCAAGCAGGGATCAGGCCTTAGATCCTGAGGTTGCAAATCCTTTGAGTCAGCATGGCAAGCAGCATGCCAGGCAGCTGAGTAGGGCTGTGTTTGCTATCATAAAGCTTAAGGTCTTATGAAGCTTAAGCCTCGGGCTTAAGATGTTTAAGGGAGATGGTATCTCTATCAATCCCTGCATGGTTCCCAACACCCATCGAAATTCCAGTCACAGCAAAGCCGGAACCCTAGATCCTAAACTAAACCGGGAATGGAAACACTAAACTCTCGTCAGTTCCCACCCACCTCGGTACACCGAAGCCACCTCGAAACCTGAATTAAGCTCGACGAGTTATGCGCAAATCGAAATTTATGGAAGACTAGGGACGGAGGGGCCTGCCCGCACAGTAACCGGGGAGAATCGATGCTTCTGTTCCAAGCAAGAACCATCTTGCTTTTGTCTTTCTCTGTAGTTGTGCTGGCTCTAGGTTGTGCTGTGTGCTTGCTGCCGCCGACGACAGTGCCAGGATTTGCAGATAATTTTTTGCCCCTAGCTGTGCGAAACGGCATTCAGAGAGCAGTACTTGGAGCTTAAAGCTTACAACCATTTGGATCCTCTGACACGGCTCGCTCCCTGAATCTACTGGCCCATGCCGTTGCACGAGGCCTTAACTTGGAACCTCGATCCCAAAGCTACATGCAGCCCTAAAATCTAAAGCTTCTTCAACGCCTAAAGCCCAACTTAACAACAACTCTGTAAAGCTGGAGTCCACACTGGAAAATACACGGAGGCCGGTCACAACCGGGTCCCGCCGGATCCTCCAGATGGAACTGCGCAATCGCTACGAGGCGGCCCCTGGGGTTAGAAGTTTCAGTGTAGGCTTTGCGTCCTGAACGGGACGACAAATACGCGCAATCCGACCCGAACGAAGGGAGCTAGAGCCCCCAAGTCTAACTCCTAAAGCCTTGACCCGAACACCCTAATTGAACCCCAAGCCCAAACGCCCTGAACCCAAAGCCCAAATATCCTAAACCGATAACCCCCAAATCTTCAGATTGGGGCAGATGTAGAGGTCGGCATAAAATTGCCCTTTGCAGCCTTGTGTATATATATATATATATATATGTATATATATATATATATACACACACAACAGCATACCCCCAAACGCTGTTCTACTCCTTATTCGGGTTGTGTGTTGAAATGTGTTGAGGTGTTTGTCTGGTTCAGATCTTCAGAAACTTGAACCATACATCTCTTCGGAGAGTTGAGGTCTAGGGTCTAGAGGTGTAGGGTTTAGGGTCCATAGGTTAGGGTTAGGTTAGGGTGAAGGTGTGGCTTTGTTGTTTAGTTCCGCAGGACGGTGCCTCTGCCATTCTAGCCTTCTCGTTGAGAGGCAAGGCATCACGAAGTTTAGGGCCCCTGAACCCTGAACCATAAACCCAATTTTACAGGGTTTAAGGTTCAGGGTTGTCGGTCATAGTGTGTTTAGCGTCAAGTTCCCTCATCGCCTATGCTCGACAACCGTACTTAACACTGGAAGCAAAGCCAAATCGCTCTAGAGGAGTGTCATTCCCTCTGCAGGAACCGCCCAGCCGCATTCGTCGCTGTGAGACGTGGGCTGTGAAAAGAGAGGTTATGGGCTAAGAGCGTGGGCCGGTCTGGGCAGCCTTGTCCTTCGTGAAAGTCGAAGTCGAAATCTCTGGTTCTAGCGATAATTGAAAAATGTGCAGAGCTCAAACCTACGACCCGAAAAGCTTGCCATAAACCCTAGACCCTTCACCTTCACGCGGAGCACTCGCAGCTCCTTTCTAGCTAGAGCTCTCTGCTTCTGCAACCCTATCGTTCGGGTGCTGGAAGCCGTAGTAGGAGAGATTCTTGTGGCCACTCCGTGGTCTTTGTTTCAACGGAGCGCTTAGGGCTCTAGACCCCTTTACCTTAAGCCCTAAGCTGAATCCTAAGCACTCTATCGCCAAACCCAAGCCGACCCCTAAGCTTCAAACTGAAACCCTGCCGCACCCTTTTATAGTATAAAGCTTATAAGCAAAGCCCTGTATTCTCCCAAGCACTTTAATATAGCGACTTAAATAATTACCAATACTATTTTGGGGGTTCCTTATTTTAATTATAGTTTATCATACCCTAAAACCCTATTCCAATTAGTAAGGCACCTATATTATCCTGAACCCTGGGATTCCCCGTGCCATCTGCAGCAATGTGCTCAGAGGTCGAAACAAATCCAGAGCTCAGCATCCACTGGTGCCACTGGGTTTAATATAGAGGCCTTAATAATTCCGAAGACTCTTATAGGGGCTCCTTACCATAATCATAGTATCATGGGCCCCGAAACCATGTTCTAACTATTAAGGCCCCTACAATAGGGTTTGACGAAGCAACAAATGACATTGCAACATGGCATATCGCGCACCAATATGCTCACACCCGCCGAGACAAATCGAGCTATGGCATACCCTTCAGAAATTCAAGCAACGGCAGACATAGAGAGGTTATTCCTCGACCCGAAGCTAGAAGCCTTATAGACCGGGAAAGAGGCGCTTAGCAACAACAAAAACTTATAAACCCTTTCCTGGTCTTCTCGATTTTCTCCCCTGCCTTTTCGCCACGAACAGCAGCCTACACCTCAAGGCATGCAAATGCCAAGGCAGTAGGTCTCTAAGCCTCGCATCCTACACCCTAAACACTAAACCCTAAGCCCTACATCCTACACCCTAAACCCGGAAGACCGTGCTCCACTTTGGAGAACCTCAAACTGAATCCCCAGCCCAAAGACCCTAATATATGGGGTCTTAGCAATTACCTATACTGTTATAGGGGCTCCTTATTATAAGTATAGTAGAATATACCCCAGAACTCTATTCTAATTATTAAGGCAACTATATTCACGCCTTTTACCCCAACCCTTCCCCTTCCAAGTTTGTTTTCTGTTTCTCCTTCCGCCTCCGTCGCCGGGCGCGCAGCCAGTCGGCGCCGCGGGCGCATCATGGGCGCTGCCCAGAACGAGGTGAGAGCCAGACATGTTGAATGACTTATAAGCTTATACAGGTTCAGGGTTTTGCAGGGCCTGGGGGATGGTATAGTGACTGTGAACTTCGGAACTGTTAGTGACCGTTAGTGAGAATCATGAGGCTCTTCTCCAAGCGCCATCTCTATACACCCTGAGCCCCTCGCGGCAACAACTGCACACGCCCATATCGCCTGATTGGGAGTGTCTGAGAATCAGGAACCCTTATACAGAACCCCAACAACGTCCGGATCCATATATATATATATATATGTACAGACAATATAGTACAACGCCTCTAACTATTGTACTGATGTCTAGGAGCTTTATATATAACACAAAATCCTGTAAACCCTAATCCCTGAACCTTAAACCCTAAACCCTATAAGCCCTAAACCCGAAACCCGGCCTAAGCCCCTATATGCAACCCCTCTATCACAATTATAAACTTGTCCCGGCAAGGCTGCCTATGGTTTAGGGCTGAGGTGTTCAAGGCTTGGGGTTCATTTGGAGTTATACAGGTTTTAGAATGTAGCGTTTAGGGTTTGAGGCTTGGTTGCGGGATAGGATTAAAGGTTGCTCCTCGGTTTGGGTGTTTCGGCTTAGATTCCCCTGGTGTCGATTTAGGGTTAAATTTAGGGTTTAGGGAGTTTAGGGCCGTTCAGGGTTTAGGTTCCAGGGATGTGCGGCCAGAATTCCAGGCTGCAAGGCTCTAGTACTAGGGGTGCCGCGATTTCCCCTCCGACAATTCAAGTCATATTCCTTAATCGAGGGGTATTCGGATCCGTTTGTTGCAATGAGACCGGCTCCTGCATCCATCTCTCAGCGAGAGTGTGGCAGGTGAAGTATCATGGCCTCCTTCTACCCCGTGAAGAAAGAAGGCGTCGAACGGCAGGGACGGGGGGGAGGCCAATTCGGATGTAAAGTCAGCACGAATCCCCTCAACCCTAAAAAAACCCGGTTATCTCAGCCCTGACCGCGAAATCCCCAAACCCCCACAGGCGAGATACTCTCGACACACCACCCTGCAATACTTAAGCGCGAAGCATCGCGCCCTAATGTAGTGCAACTAGACTATACGGTCTTGGGATGTAGAGTAGAGATACAGAGACAAGAACGGGAAGACGATTGAACCGGTGTTTCAATCCTCTGTATTGTTATTGTAAGCTCGCATTGTGAAAGCTCCCCTGAGACCTCAGTGGCCTGAATCACCGGTCACAAGAGATCAGGCAGCTGCGCGAGGGACCTGTGTGTTAGTTTGCTTAAACCCTTTATAAACCCTATATACACCCTACACCCCTAAACCCTAAACCCGAAACACCTCGGACCTGGACGCTAAACTCAAAGCTACGAAGCCCTAGATTCAAAACACTTCAGCCCTCGACCCGACATAAACCTTGAACCCGAGTTACACCCAAACCCCAAACCCGAAGCGCCTACAGTTTTCGGAGGCCTCAACAGGTGGGATGAAGGTAGGTAGCATTAAGGATCCCTTGTATAAGGACTCTTATGTGGGAATATCCCACCTACCTTCATCCCACCTTTTGAGGCCTCCGAAGTTTAGGGTTTTGACCTTAAACCCTTGCACCCTTGCAGGCCCTTCAGATGTCACGCGAGTGCGGTGCTTGGCTGTGGTATTGCAGCTTTCAAGGCTCAAGCCTTAAGCCCTGGAGCTCTACACTCGAACTCGAGGCCTTACATCGGGGGTTTAGGGTTTATAGGGGTTTAGGATTTGGGGGTTTAGGGTATTGGGTTTAGAGTTTGGGGGTTTAGCGTTTGCGGTTTTTGAGTTTTTGGGGTTTAGGGTTTAACTAGGGTTTAGGGTTCAGGGTTTAGGATTTGGGGTTTTGGGGAACCCGAGACTACATACCTGGGAACCCGAAACCATGAACCCGAAACCGGGATGTTTGCTGTAGCTGTGAAGCAGCAGGCGGGTAGTTCTCTGAATTAGGGTTCAGGGTTTAGGGTTCTGGGCTGGTCCTCCAAATAGTACGGCACCCTTATGAAAAGGACCCCTACTGTAAAGGGGACCTTACTTTAGAGAACTACTCAGGTAGCTGCATCGCTCCGAGCCGGTGCCGCCAAGCAGGCATCCCTGGGAATCAGGTTTAATGTAGGTGCCTTCATAACTACCTATATTATTTTTTTGGGGGGGTGGTTCCTTATTATAATTAGAGTATACTGGGACCCAAACCCCTATTCCACGTATTCAGGACACCACATGAGGTTGTGGCTTTAGGGTGCATTTTGGATTTAGGTAGGGCTTCGGGTGTCGGGAGATCCATCATGTTGAGGTCTTAGGTGGGGATTCTGGTGGGTGGTCGAGGTTTCTGGTTCGACGTTGCGTATTTTACGAAGAATGAGGCTTTATTTACAGTATCAAGCTGGAGACTCTCGGTGTTGAGGGGCTATGGATTGGGCTCGTTCTAGGGTGCGATGCATTATTATTGCGGGTAGAACCAAAGCCCGACATCTAAAGCCTTATCAGGTTGAGTTTTGACATGACATGCTAGTGTGGGCGGTTTTCGCTCCAAAAGCCCCGCCTCATCCTTTCTGCCGGCACGCCATGCACACCAAAAGACCAAGGCCTAAACTGTGTAGGGCCTGAGGGTTTCAGAGATGATGAAGCTCATTATAACTCTGCGGGTCATGGCCTGTAAAGTGGTTTCAAGTTATAATGATTGGGAGCTTAAGCCGGCACTTAAAGAGCAAGCCAGGCCTGCTAAAGACATCTCGCTGTTACTTCATGTTGCAAAAAGAGCCATGAATCCAGAAGGACACGGAGTTCCATGTGATAGGGCTAGTAGGCTGGATGATGGAGTTGATTGTAGTGGATATATATATATATATATATGGGACACTAAGGGCAGAGACCCTAAGAGTTCGAATCCTAGATCCCCTGTAGAATCCATAGTGCCTTACAAGACTAGGGGTAAGGGTTTAGGGGTTTAGGGTTTCGGGTTGTGCGTGGTCCCTTGTGACGAGGAGTAGGGTTTAGGATATAGGGGTTCAGGGTTTCAGGCTTTCGGGTTTAGGGTTTAGTACAGCGCAGTGCCCGGATGGTACCCTTGTGGTTAAGGGGATACTGGGGAACCTTGACCCTGAATCCTAGAAGCCCGACGCCCTCAAACCTAAACTTTGCAATTAAGGGTATGACCACTCAGGAATCAACCCCGTGCCATGGCCGATCACCCATGTTATGAAGGGGATACTGGGGTACGTTGATCCCGATGCCAGGAGAATGTGCTGAAGAAGCAGGCAGCTACCACGCATCGCCCTCGGGTCGCGGTAGTGGAGTGAGCTTTTGGGACCGAATGAAGACTGCAGTACTCTTGAATGCAGCTCGTTTTGTGGCTACCCAACTGTTGCACTGTAGAACCTGAACCATAAAACATTGTCGAGTGGTGAGGTTTAAACCTCAAACCCACCGGCTTGTTGGAAAGAAGTAGGAGGACGTTCTTGCACGTTTATCTCCCATCTGCCCCCTAGCGCTCGACCGTGGACCCGAAACCTTATCGGCCCTATCATTACCCTTTCAGCCCCAAGGGGAGAACCCCTAAATCCTAATCACTGGAGCCCCCCTAGTCCCTCTCTGCCCTTACACTCAAAGCACTAAGGCCCTGAAGCACGAAACCCTAAACCCTCAAACCGTGTGCCCTCGAACTCTAAGGCCTTAACCCTTATGAGCCCTAAGCTCTCAGCCCTCACTCTCCAAGCGAGGCCCGGGCAGCAGCTGCACCGGTCGCTTATTGCAAAGGCAGCACTTTGGGGAGTCTCCACTATTATACAGTAAAGACACAGTGTAGGCATTATATATCTGTATATGCTAGATATATATATATATATATATGTATTGCAAAAAAGTACCTATGGTATGTAGTGTCAGGGCTTGTGGTGGTCCCACCTTGGCAGTGGGGCGGGATACCTACGCTATAGGCTCTAGAGCCGAAGTTTGGGGTTTAGATGGGTTTAGGCCTTAAGGTTCAGGGGTTTGGGGCGCCCGAAATCCGACGGCCTCGAGACCCAGGGTCTGCAGCAGCTGCCTCCTCCCAAGCATCCCTTGTAATTGTTTGCAAGTATAACAAGCAACCCCCAAATAGTCTTAGAAATTATTAGGCCCCATATATTAGATTTTTGCCGCCTGGACCAGCTGTCTTTCCGTCGGAATTTTGCCGTAAGGGAAAATATTTGACCAAGCACGGACCTCATTATTTCTTTCTGGCTTTTAGGGTTGAGGGCTTCGGGGGGCCAGCCATGTAGATTACCGGGGTGCTCTCTAAAGTCTTACGCTTCTGATCTCATCAACCCGGATTCACTTACGTCATGCAATGACCCAGAGACTCCAATTTCTCTGAATTCAGGATTAAAACCTTAACAACTCATGGAGGGATCCAATCTATGATTTGAGGTAAATCTGGACCCTGAAGAACCTACCTTTTTAGTGCTCCTTGTTATGATTTCTTGATATATAAGGTCTTAGCAAGGTAGGTTTTTTAGGGTCCAGCTATTCCCTGATCAGGGGGTCTTGGGTCTTGGAGTCTCGAGGGAGCAGAACGAAGGGCAGCAGCGGAACATCATTGAATATCCCTAAACCCGGTTGAGGTTTGAGGGGTTTAGGATTTAGGACAGCTGGTTCAGGGTATAGGGTCTAATGTAGGAACCTGGTTCAGAGCCCCC